ACAGCTTTTCATATTTATTTCATTTTGTCTTCTTGCAGTGAAATTTCTCTGATGACCACCGTCGCGGTAGCACTACGCTGCTAGACCAGAGTGCGCGCGATACGCATTTTCCTACACAGCTTCTTCACCTTAGAAATTTTAATTGATTGTCCCAATTTATTTTTCTCTTTCAGCCAATATATAAAACTCGATCTTCCAGTTTATACCGAGTCGGTAAATGAATTTTAAGTAGTTTCGTAAGGAATTAGATAAATATTTATAGAAAATATTAAGTAATAGCCTTAATAGTAATTAATTTAAAATAGATTATACTGGATCCATTTTTAAGCTTGTCATTGGCATTAGTGCAGTGTTATCATAGACTAATACTATTTATTATATTTTATTACAAATTATTAATAAACACATGGTAGTCTTTATTTTGTTTTATTTTCAAGAGAAAATGTTTAATAAACGTTATTATTATTATTATTATTATTATTAATAGAGATATAAAGATAATACTTGTGGAGCGATTCTTCAGATAATTTCAAAAGAAAATATTTTTAGTGCTTATTCTTCATAGAAAGTAATATTTAATATTCCTATTATTAACTAAGTTTTTCAGGTACCTGAAGAAATAAAATTATTTTTTTCATAAAGTTAATACAGCATGATCGGAAAAAAAAACGGCGTCAGCAATGGTTATGATGAAGGTATATATACAGGGTGTCCCAGAAATAAGTGCAAATATTTTAAGGGGTTGTAGATCTCGATAAAAGAATCGTGGTTAAGAAATTACCCAACTTTTTGGAACACCCTGTATGATTTTTTAAAAAATTTCAAAATATCTCGTTTTCCCGAAAGACTAACCGTTTTTTAAATAACAAATATTGTAATATTTGAGGGGCGTTTTCACCCTCTTGGAATTTGAGATTCGAGAAACCCCTCCTTATCGAACCTCTACACCCCACAGTCAATCCGTTTGCCAAAAATCAGCTTTAAACGTCAAGCAGTTTAAGCAGAATCGTGATTACTCAATGGTCATATTTTGTGAAACACCCTGTTTAAATTTATAAAAAATCTTAAAATATGTAAAACAACAAAATAAAATATACGTGTTTAAGAGTTTTTCCGAAAAACTCACCGGTTTTTAAATAAAAAATATTTTAATATTTGGGGGATAGTTTCACCCCCTTGGAATTCGAGTTTAAAAAAACCCCTTCTTATCGAACCTCTACACCCTAAAGTCAATCTGTTTTCCAAAAATCAGCTTTTTACGTTAAGCGCTTTAAGCAGGATCGTGATTAATCAATGACCAGATTTTTCGAAACACCCTGTAAAAAAATCTTAAAATATGTAAAAAAAATAAAATAAAATATATGTATTTAAGCGTTTTTTCGGAAACTTGACCGTTTTTTAAATAAAAAATATTGTAATATTTGAGGGGTGGTTTCACCCTCTTGGAACTGGAATTTCGAAAAATCCCTTCTTATCGAACCTCTACACCCCAGAATCAACCTGTATGCCAAAATTGAGCTTCTAATAATCAGTATGTCAGGGTGCAGCCACACTATCCTAAAAACGGCGTATCGGCGTAACGGGCGTAATGACCTTGAATGGATTTCCAGTAATTCTATTGGCTGAAACATTCATCTGTCAGAAATTTTATCTGTCAAATTCATCTGTCAAAAATTTTAGCCAATAGAATTACTGGAAATCGATTCAAGGTCGTTACGCCATTACGCCGATACGCCGTTTTTAGGATAGTGTGGCTGCACCCTCAGTCACTTAAGGATTTTATATATTAGTATAGATCATGGCTGAGAAACTTAAATGGAAATGACGGTTCATTAAAAATAGTTTTTCCTCCAAGATGCAGAGGCGCAAAATATTAAAACTGTCAATATTAACAATGCAAATGTCAATATCTGACAATAATAAAATTTGATTTTTAACTGTCACTCAGAGACGCTTTTGTTGTGATTTTACGGTTTGATTTCGTTTTGATTTGTCTAATTATTGTAAAATTAAATTCCTTCAGAGTTTTTGCCAGTATTCTGTTTTAGATAATGTTTTTTAAAAATGGTGGGACAATTTGTGTTTTGTATAGACTCTTGTACTACACTTGTTGTACTTGACTTGTTGTACACCTGGTTTCCGAAGGATACAATGGTAAGTAAATTAAACATATCTACTTACAGTTATAGATTTATTAAATTAGTACTGCTAATAAATGCTACTTGCTGAGCAGTTATTTAATTTTATTTACGGTGCATGTAAGGAATTAAGGACGCGCGTTGTGTTATATTAGCACGATCAGCAGATGATTACATCTAATTTAATTTGTTTTTATTATTTCAGGTCTCAAACGGAAACAAACTGGGAATCTTGCCTACACCAAAATTATATAGCCGTTTCCAATTCACTTCAAAGGGAGGAAAATTATGTAAAACTGTCTGCTATTTGCAGAAAACCGCCAAAAATTAAATTATAACTGTAACAACTTAATATATACATTTCTAGTCTTTTTAATATATTTTTAATTAATATCCGACATATAAGAACACTTTGTATGCTTTTAATTCAGTTGATTTATCGTTTATAATATGTTCGACCTAATTAAAAGCACACAAAGTGTTCTTACATGTATGTCTAAATTTATTTTAAATTAACTAAAACAACCCCCCTTCCCCGCACCCCTCTCTTCCATTAGTATTTCTTCCTCCATCTACCAGAGGCACCCTTGTATAATAAAATTGAAATGTATTATAAGTTGCTTATCTATTTAATAGTATAAGTCTTTTATCTATGGTATAGATTTATATGGGAAATGTCATCAATTGTCATATGATCGTCATTTCCCAGCCAACTGGGCGCCATTTTTTTCGATCGTACGGTATCTATCTGTAACATGTAACAATAGTTCCGTATGATCGAAAAAAAACGGCGTCGAGTTGGCTGGGAAATAACAATCGATGACATTTCCCATATAAATTTACATATAAAATGACAACTATCTTCATTTCATAACCAACGCTGACGCCGTTTTTTTCGATCATATGGTATATTGTTTTATTAGGAGTAAAAATTAAAATTGTTGTGGCGAGGTTGTACGTTTGACATTATAGGCGAGGCACAAAGTCATTTTTACTCCGAATAGAACATCATTGTCGTAACTACAGAGATGCCCGGGGGTGCCGCCCCACCCCCCAGGTACTGCTGGGCACCCCCCAGAGTCCCAGAGAAATCCTGAATTATTACTCTTGGCTACGTATTAATTTTTATTTGCTTGTGATGCAGTAAAAATGACGTTTTCTAGTTTTGTTTAGTTGATATTATTTTACTGTGTTCAAACATGTGTTAAATTTATTTTTTTTAGAAAATTTGTAGGTATTTAAGTAATCTACGGGATCACGGTTATATGAAATTTATTGATAGAGAAGTTTATGTAAAACGTTTTATTCAAAAAATGTGCTTTTTAAAATTATTTTTCATTTAAAAAAAAACAAAAGCCCTAGCTCAATTAAAAAAAAAACAAAAACCCTAGCCCCCCTGAGCTCAAAAAACCGGGCCCCCTCCCCAGGCCCACCCCAGGATAAATTGCACTACACTTTATTGTAGTGCAATTAGTATAGTATTTATTGCACTACACTTTAGTGTATTTTATTTTTTTTCAAACGTCAAAAATATTTTACTAATATTTTTGACGTACAATAATTAACAACATAACAATTTCAAACATTGAAAATAATATAAAATATTTAAAAGTAATACCTTGTAAGTACCGTATGATCGAAAAAAAACGGCGTCCAGTTGGCTTGAAACTGACGATCGATGACATTTCCCATATAATTTTACATTTAAAATGACAGCGATCTTCATTTCATAGCCATCGCTGACGCCGCTTTTATTCGATCATAGGGTATTATATATCGAGAAACTTATTGAATTTGACATTTTATGTCAGTTTAATAACATGTTTAAAAATATATTTTCGTACTTTTCTGCTTAGGAGTAAAAGTGCATTACTTTTATGCCTAGGCATTAAAATTACTTTTTTATATTGTCAATCACGTATGAAAAATTAATACTTTTGTGACGTTTGAAAAAAAAATATTTTTCAAATGCTCGATGCCATTGCCTGTAAAATCTTAAACAGGAAAGTTGATATGGAGCCTTTTCTAGCAGTGGGTCACCCTGTATATAGGTTTTTGTATAGATTCAAAGCCCCCTTCTTAGTTTGGATATGATCCGCCACTGCAGAAATTCCTTGAATATATTTTCTGACGTTGTATTAGTCAAGATAATTAATTTATTCTTTCTATATTCAATGTAGACAAATATTACCTTAACAAAACAAGGAATTACAATTATTGCATTAGCATTAGCTATGCATATTCTTATTAGCATTTGGAACAATGTTTACAAAAAACAATGATATGCAAAGAACTGTTTCTTACGATCAACTGAAAAGTATTGCATGATAAAATTAACAAAAATAATTAAAAACTACTGATGTAATTATTAATGATATTGCTCTCATAGCATAAATTTACATAAATAAGGTGTTATAATTTATTGCTAGAATTAAAGCGCTATTTTTTAATGTCTTAAGATAAAGCGTTTTAAAAACGAAACTCTGGTAAATGCTAAAATGCTTCAAATCTGTTTATTTCACAGGTTTTTTAATAAGTCTTTCTAGTAATAATTATCTATAAAAAATAAAAAAGTATATTTTCAGATCTAAATTAAAAAAAATATATGTATATTAAAATGAAAATAAACTTGAATAAAAATACTTGAAAAATACGAACGCCATTGCCTTTTTGAAAATTAATAAAAATAAAAGCCAAAGATTAAAGCTTTTTATCACCTTTTTTTTAATTTTCTTTTTTGAATTTTGTTATATTCATAGATATAGGGTATCATATTTAAAACGACGGACATCTTATCATATAATTATATTTTAAACGTCGTTATTTAATCTGTGGTTAGAACTGTCACAAATGACATTAGAAAAGACAAGTGACATAGCAAACAATAACATTTTAAAAACATTTGTGAAAAACAATAAATTTTGTTTAAATTATCTATTTTTGAAGAATAAAACTATGGTGAATTTACAGAGCGAAGAATCATCAAAGGAAGAAGAGCCTTTTGGATTAGCTTGCGCTTTAGATTATTTTTCAGAATATGAAGAGGTTTTACAAATGATTGATAACCTAAAGAATATAATAGTATCTGAAAGGTCGATTCAAGAAAAAGCATATGAAAAGTATTCGTTTATTCTCAGCCAATATATAGAGCAGCCACATTTGCTAGATACACATATTAATAGTATACTTCAAAAACTTATCGATATAGTCAGAAATACTTTGAATCCTGTTGAATTAAAACATATTGCATTTAGTTATATGTTTGTAGTTGTTAATGTAAGGGGCTATAAAGATATTGTTCGGCATTTACCACACGAAGTTGCCGATTTTGAACCGGTTTTACAGTTACTCGAAGCTCAAGATCCTAATGATTCAGATACTTGGACTACAAGATATATCTTATTATTATGGTTATCGATAATTATCATGATACCTTTTCATCTCTCTCGCTTTGACGGATTTAATGAAAATACAAGCGATCAGAAAACAGTAATGACCAGAGTTTTAGAAGTGATTAAAATTTATGCTGTTGTTCCTGATAAATGTAGGGACGCAGCTGCTTTTTTGTCTTATAAATTTATCACTAGGTTGGTGTGTAATGAAGAATATTTAACAAATTTCTGACAATATTTGGTAATTTTTCTTTTTAGGAATGATGTGAAAGAGGTACATTTAAAACCTTTTATTGATTGGGTAATGGTGCAGAGTTTAGCCAGTAACAGTAATGTTTTTGTGAAGTATGGAACTTTAAGTTGTATCGCAACTATCATTAAACACGGGAAAAGGGAAGACGTATTGCCTCATGCACGTGTTTTGTTAGAATGGATTATTAATTCAGAGTTTAAAGAAAATTCTGGCTCTAATGTGCAAAAATTGGTTTATAAAATTATTCAAAGAATAGGTATTTTTTCATTAAACAAACATGTAATAATTTAAACTTATTTTAAACAATATATCTTAATTTAGGTTTAACATTTTTACCTCCTCTTATTGCATCATGGCGCTATCAAAGAGGAAATCGCTCTTTGGCAGCAAATTTAAGTGCGGGAGGTGATTTGAGAACTAGCACATCAAATGAAATTCCAGACCTTAATGTTAATATTAACATACCAGATGAAGTGGAAGAAGTTATTGACCAACTAATTCAAGGATTAAGATGCCCAGACAGTGTAGTTAGGTGTGTCTTTGTATACATTTTAGTAACAGTTTTATAATTCGTTTCTTGTTAATATCAGATGGTCAGCAGCAAAGGGAGTTGGTAGAGTGACAGCTAGACTACCTAAAGATCTTGCAGATGAAGTTGTAGGTTCTGTGTTAGAACTTTTAGGGCCTAGAGAGAATGATGCAGCTTGGCATGGTGGTTGCCTTGCATTAGCTGAATTGGGTATGAAATAAACAACATCTAATTCTCTTTCGCCGTGATAATTTTTTTAAAAATATATTTCTATATCTACTTGTTACCCTTGTTTATATATTCTTAAAGTTGCCCAACCGACTAGACAAAATGTGCTGCCAACTGGAGGACAAATCGTGAACCTTTCGGGGCGGAGTCAAAAATATCGATTATTTTCGTTATTTTCCTCAGAGTAATGTAATAATATAGCCAGGGTTTCTGCGAACTTTAATAGTGATCAGCTGATTAAGAAATTTAAACGAAACTTTTATTTTATTGTAAATTGTGGATTATTTTTGCCTGTTATTTTAAGAATTCCAGACCGTATTAACAAAGAAATTATTATTTCGATATGTTGGTACATTATTTATAATTTATGATAATGCTAATTGCTGTTAATTAATATTTAAAAAAAAGTTACATACCTATTTTAATTTGATTTAATGCAGGTTTATAAAAGAATCATTTCATTCTTAGATTATTTTATTCTAAATTGAGTGCTTTACGAATTTTATGATATTTTTTTTGAAAACATGAAACTTTACACATTTTTGAGGCCAACTAATTGGCATGGTATTATTGGTATGGATATTAGCCAAGAAAGAAAAGAATTGGCTAAAAACGGCTTCAGCGATGGCTATGAAATGACGATCGATGATATTTCCCATATAATTTTACATAGGTATAAAATGACAGCGATCTTCATTTCATAGCCATCTTTGACGCCGTTTTTATTCGATCATACGGTAGATTATAATGGAATTAGAGACAAAGTTTTAAAATAGCCAAAATTTGTTTTTTTCGAAATATCTAGTAAGCCTTGAATTTCTCCGAAAAATCCGAAAGGCGCATATTTATGACCCCACAAAACTGCAATTTTTTCCCCATTTAACCGACTCTCTATCTCCAGTAGTTTCCGAGATACCCATAGAGAACATCATAGGAAACTTACCCTGTATAGTATTTAGAAACTAACTATTATTATTATTTGACTAGATTAATTTGATTAATAAAACTCGATTAATTTAATTTAAAGTAAATTTGATCAGATTTTTTTCTCGTATATTCTACTACCAGAAAACCAAAATTATATGATAACGCACTTTTCAACGAAGTTGAAGGAAGATATAGTGTATCTATCACAATACTTAATAGAATTACTACAATTAGAAGAAAAACAAAAAGAAAAAATACCCAAATACCTTCACCTACTACTCATCTACAAAATAAACTAATATAATCTCCTATAAAAACACTACACAACTACTTCTTCACTACTTCAACCACTACACTGAAAAAATTATCAAACTTACTAATTAATCAAACAAAAAGAAAAAATAACCAAATTATCCCTTCACCTACTACTTAACTGCAAAATAATAAACTATAAAAACACTACTAAACTATTTCTGGTATTCTACGCTAAACATTATAATTAAACTTAATAAAATTAATCTAATTTTACACTACAACCACTACTACTACAAAGAAATAAGAACATTTTTTAAAACTAGAAGAAACAGAACCTCGATACGTGCAACCAGTATAATAGATCAAGCGGACAAAGAATATAAAATACTTTAAAAATGTGCATTCAGAAAGAAAAAATATCTCGAAAATTATCTAAACAAACATTTTTTTTTCTTATCAGTGAAAAGCATCGGCCTCATCGGCCTTGCGAAATTTGTCGGGTATTTACAATGGTCGAATTGTATAATTACCAGCTTTTATAGCATATCTAATAGATAAAAAGTATCTGGTCGATTAGTAACCAATTGGCACCGTCCGAAAATTATCGATTTTTATTTTCTCTGTTTTTATTGGTCGCTTCAAAATTCAGAGTAACAAAAAATATTTTTCTGTAGTAAAAGACTGTGAAATACGCCCCGCCATCTGGTGCTTTACATCCATAAACGTCTTAGGTTGAGCTACTTTAAAAATTCATATACAAGGTTGTTACTTAGATACATAGTTAAAATTAGCATATAAATTGCCATGACTTTCTTTTGTATCTACATTTTTTAATGTGTTTAGGTAGGAGAGGATTTTTATTACCAGAAAGACTTCCACAGGTTGTTCCTCTCATTTTAAAAGCTCTTGTATATGACGAACCACGTGGCTATTCCTCAGTTGGTTCGCATATAAGGGACGCGGCTTGCTATGTTTGCTGGTCATTTGCTAGAGCATACGAACCAAAAGATTTAGCTCCATTCGTTCAAGATATTGCCAGTACGCTATTGGTTGTCACGTGCTTTGATAAAGAGGTATAGAACAAATTTAAAACAGTGTACAAAATCATAATTTTTAATCTGATACCGTTTTTAGATTAATTGTCGCAGAGCGGCATCGGCAGCGTTTCAAGAAAATGTCGGTAGACAAGGTACGTTTCCCCATGGAATTGACATACTAACAACGGCTGATTTTTATGCTGTTAGTGTTAGGAATAATGCGTACTTAAACATTAGTGTTTATATTGCGCAGTTCGAAGAATATACAATACCACTTATCGAGCATCTAGTTGCTAGAAAAGTGGATCATTGGGATTGTTCAATAAGAGAACTGACAGCCAAGTCATTATACAACCTTACTTCATTGGTAAGTAATTTTTACATAACGGTCCGCTCATTCTAAATCTGGTCAGTATTTTAATGCATGAGTCATAAGTCGCCAAGCTGTGCACAGAGCATCACACTGTAGGATATTAAAAGATTAATCAATGTTAATCCAAATTAAAACTTGTAAACACTACATTTAGGGTGGGCCAAAAAAGTCGATTATATTTTTTTTCACTTTATATTCTGAAATAAAGGTTGGTAGACACCTCAAAAACATTCTCTCCGAGTATGAGCTCTTAATTTTAATAGGAAGATCCTCCGCCTTTCAGTTTTCTATTTTTTTCCATATTATTAGAAAGAAAAATTCATATCTCGGTATCTACTATTTGGAAAAAATATCTTGTCTCATATATTTGTAGGAAATTTAATTCTCTACAAAAAAGGCCTCTAACAATTTTTGTAAACCTCACCGTTCGAAAGTTATTAAAGGTTGAAGTGTGATTTTTTTAAGGCAGATTTCATTTTTATTATGAATTTTCTAACGCGTTAAAAAAATCATTATGTTACGCGCACTCATGTAGGGTATTCACTGCTCTACAACAATGATGTCTTTTGATTAGTCGATTAAATTAACTGTTTAAAAGATATTCATCGTCAAATTTCAATGCACAATAATTTTAACAGTTTTTGATACATAATTCGAACAATTTCAATTATTTAATTTATGAGTTTCGGGAAAATTTTTACAAATTTATGTTCTCTGTTCGAAAATTTATTTGAAATTTAATGAATCATTGACGCCAAGTTAGGTCTCTAACTCACCAGGTCGCAACGACCTGGCCGTCGGCTGGCCGGATGTATTGCATTTATAGCTGCGGCCAGATGAATGACCAGTTGCAACAGAGTTGTCAGATCTAACGATTTATTACGTTTTACCAATTAGAAAATATTGTTTCAGAAAGAAATAAGTTTCAGAATTGTTAAAATATCCAAGTTAACTAAAAAGCGAAGTTGTTATTAATGAGCTTATTAAATGTTTTAATATTAAATAATGCATTTAAAATATTCTTGGATTTTTCGTTAATAAATACTGGTGTGGTAAATGGAGTAAGTAAAATCTTCAACCCCGACTATATGATAACGTCGTTATTTCCATATTTTTCAAATCCACGATGCCTGCTATTCCTATTATCAGTCGTTTCGTAACAGAATATTCTACATCCTACGTCTATGTAATTTAATATGTGTAGAGTGAGACATGTAACTCGTGAGATTTTCAGCATTATATCAATAAAGGACAAAACAGTGTTGTTCCTAAAGGTGCGTCCAGACTTCGGCATTTTAGCCCGAACGAACCGAGCGCTATATGGACTTCTACTGATGGCTCTTATCGACTTTAGAAGTAAACATATTAGGGCCATAGTAAAAAAAGGTCGTCAGACACTGGCTCTAAATATAAGCAGGTAGAAAGTTTAGCTTCCAGTTATTTCAATGTTTACAATATAAATTCGTCTTTTTTATTGTTACTGAGAATCTACCGTAAATACTTCTATTTTTATGAATGTTTAAGTTACTTTAACGCTTAATTTTTTTTAAAATAATGTACCTTGTAGAAATATAGTCTAATGGACCCTGTTTGAAAAACGTTAAATTAAATATAATATTGTTATATATAAAAACGTTAAATTAAATATAATTATTAAAATACAGTTGTCCTCCTTGTACATGACTACAATACAACTAGAAAAACTAATTTAATAAAAAAAACAAGTGGTTGTAGAAAAACTTTAAATATTATTTTTTTTTATTTTTTAAACATCGAAACTCAAAGGTATAATAACAGGTATCATACCAATCATAAATAGAGTAGGTATGTCATATAAAAATGTTTTGAGTTTTTACTAGAATCGGCCTTTGATAAAAAAAAGGGATTAGATTTAAGTTTACCTTTGATCCAGTCTGTATACCATTTCTTTGGATTTTCTGCACGTGTGCAAAAACTGCACTAAAACACTATATCTTATAGAAAATAAAATGTTGTGCATTGAATTTGAGGGATTTTATCTGAAAAATTATTAATTTGGAAGAAAACCGGCAACAAGCGGCGGAAAATAATAATATTTCCGTGCAGTCTTCTGGTCGCAACGACCAACGGACGGCCAGGACATTAGTGTGCGCTATATCATTTGATTTAATGGTTTTAGAGGTAGCTGCGGCCTGGCCGGTGCGACCTGGTCGTCAGTCCTAAGTACTCATTGATTCCTCATCAAAAAATATGAAACAAATTTCCTATAAACATGGTTATGGAAATGCATAGTTTTAGAGTTACAGGATGTTATAACTTTTTAAAATTTAATTTTTTGTAATTATCTTAAATACCATTATTTTTTATTTGAAATTGCTGTAGGTTGGTCTAATAGTAATAATAACTAATTATTGTAATGATATTTAATAATAAATTAGGAAATTAGGTCAAATATATAATTTATTAATTTTATATTTATTTTAAATTTATTAAATTGTAATTAATAAAATTGCGTTTATCTCATCAAGGAGGCCGAATCCGACAAAATACCAAGAGATAATGTTTAATTGGCATTAAACGGCCTACACAATTATGATATCAAAAGAAAAAAAGTCATTGGCACACATGATTTTTTGTTTTTTTGAAAAATATTCCAGTGATAACCCATACGCACGTCCCTGATGAATTTATAGATACTATTTAGCATTAAAATATGTAGCACTTATAGTAACTTTTACCCTCAAAATTGCATTTGAGTCACTAAAAGTACTTGGAAGAAAATTATAATAAATCCAAAGATTACACCCTGTAGCTACGAAACAAAGAAGAATCGGACCTATGTTGATATGAAAAATAAATCTTGTTTTTACGTGAGAAATCTCCCCACGAGAGATGGCACATGTTTTTTGAAACACCCTGTATATCATTATATTCCAAATTAAAACTTGTAAACACTATATACACTAACGGACAAAAGTGGAGCAACAAAGTTCATTTTTATTCATGTTTGAATAAAAAAAATTATTAGGTTGTGATTTTCGGCTATGTTTACTATTATAACACACTATCCTTACACTATTACTATAGTACTATTTTAGTACTAGTACTATTTTGGTGTACTTTTAATCAGTTTAAAAATGGTAAATAATATTGATTATAAAAATTGATAAGAATAGGGGCGACAAAAGTAGAGCAACAAATTGTATTCAACAAATTTTATTGTGTCTTATTTCAACAAAAACTATTTAACACATTTAAGAACAATACTAATTGAAAGTCATACATTAGTAATTGATAGATTATCCATTATTATTAATAACTTGCTGACAACGGCGCGGCATTGAAGCAATCAACTTCTGAATGACATTTTCGGAAAGATTTCTACAAACTTCATTAATTTTATCTATCAAGGATTGTTTATTTGGAAACATTTGGGTACGAATACGACGTTCTACTTCTTCCCAGAGATTTTCGATGGGGTTAAGGTCTGGGGATTGTGCTGGCCATTGCAAAACTCGAACGTCATTTTCCCTAAACCACTGTTGAGCAACTTGTGAAGAGTGTTTTGGATCGTTGTCCTGTTGGAAAATAAAACGCAGTGGCATTTCCCATTCTGCATAAGGAAGCATAATATTCTGCATGATATCCCTATAAACAAATCGATCCATCGTGTCATTAGTAAAGTGTATAGGGCTTATCCCATTCCATGAGAAACAACCCCATAAAATACACTGCCTTTACCGTGTTTAATTGTAGATGTTACGTATTTAGGATTAAACCTTGTATTGATTGGTCGCCTCACACGTCTCATTCCATCAGAATTGAATATTTTGTAGCGCGTTTCATCACTGAACAGAACTTTTTTCCAGTCATTGACGGTCCAGTTTAAATGCCGACGTGCGAATGCCAACCTTGCTGCTCTATTTCTTTCCGAAACTAACAGCTTTTTGGCTGGACGTCTACTAAATAACTTTGCATCTACTAATCTTCTTTGTACTGTTCGTATACCAACCGTAATTTCTGGAATTTCGGCAATAATTCTAGGTGCGGATTTCCAAGGATCATTTTGAGCAATTCTTTTGATGCGTCTGTCGGTCATTACTTGGTTGTTTTCTTTGGCCTTTCCGATTTTGGCAACTTTTCTAAGTGTCCCCTGTTATTATACGATGTAATTATTTTAGATACATTGTACCGGGGTAACACAAACTGTCTTGAAATATTGGCTTGTTTGTTACCTTCCATGAATGCATTCACAACTCTTTGCTTCAAGTCTTTTGAAATTGGAATTCCTCTTGGCATGACTAATCCAGCATAGAAATGTTTAAAAAAACATAAAATAAACCTCGCAGAATTATTTTGGGCTTTCCTTTTGCTAAAACCCTTCTTTGGAATGAATTATTTGAATGTTGCTCTACTTTTGACGCGTTACTATTAAGCATTCAAAACTAAATGTCAAAATAAATTCATTTGTTTTGTTAGTAAAAATTCTTGTTGTCATCGATACTCATAGCCTACTTCGTAGTTTTTAAATTTATTGTATTTGCATACATTATCATGCATGTATAATTAAAAAATCGCGTTTTGCAAATATTTCTTGAAGTGTTGCTCTACTTTTGTCCGATAGTGTAGGTATAAAAGCGGGGGCTGTCCCATTTATCCAGATATATATTGTAGGCTCCAGAATACATGGTAGCTAAGGTCCTGCCTATTTTATTTAGAAAAACCGAAACTATCGATTTAAACTGTCGTCACGGTGCTGTACTAGCCATTGGAGAGATCATTCATGCTTTATCCAAGATTTCCCCGTTATCAGACAACCACCTACAAAGCGTTAAAAATCTTATACCCCAATTTCAAGAGAAGTTATACTTTAGAGGCCTTGGAGGTGAACTAATGAAACAAGCCTGTTCTGATTTCATTGGAAAATGTTGTCTCGCTAAGTTACCTTTGCATACAGATCCAGTATTAGGTAATCTTGTTTTTTTTTCTGTATTATTCAGTTATGTTAGTAACATTTTTATTTTTATTCACAGATGATTGGTTAGCACTTCTCAATGACTGTCTATCATATGAAGTATCAAATGTGCGCCTTGCTGCAATTTCAGCATTGCCTGTATTATTGGACGAATATTTTTCGACAGAGGCAAAGTCGGAAATTAATAAAATTATTGTTAAGGGTTATATTTCTGAAATTAGGTCTGAAACAAAACAGTCAACTAGAATGGGGCATGCGTTAGCATTAGGTTCACTACCAAAATATATTTTGCAACCATATTTTGAAGATATTTTTAGTTCTTTGATCAATGCCAGTAAAATAACTCCAAATACATTAAAATGGGCTGAGGGTAGGAGAGATAGCATTAAAGCTTTAACTTCAATTATTTCTACAATTCTTTCTTGTAACGGGAAAGGTAAGTAGTGTTTAAAAACCATTAAATGTAACATGTGTATGAATAAGTTTTATTTTAGATTTGCAGGAAAGTCATATTAGTAAATTTTATGACATTTTATTTGAGGGATTGGAAGACTATACTCAAGATAAAAGAGGTGATATTGGGGCATGGGTTAGAGAAGTCTCAGTTAATGGTTTACAGGTAATAATACTATATTTAAGAATGTATTAAAATATATAAAATTTCATTAAAGTTGATTTTAGTCCTTATTAAAAAAACACAAATTTAAGTACTAATTATTTTGTTGTATTTTTAGGTTTTAACATTACATATAAGTGAATACTGTTCCAATTTTATAACGTCTGACCTTATGAACAGGATACTGTCAAATATTGCACAACAAGCAGTGGAAAAAATTGACAGGACTAGAGCTTTGGCTGGAAAAGTATTTTATAGTTTCATTTATAAGTAAGTGTAAAATATTTATTATACTAATTATAATTTTATTTTTGGTTTATAACTATTCCTACACTTTGAAATTGAAGGGGTTTTTGAGTCAGTATGCCAGATACAGACTATAAATACTTATATATTATCACAGATTATACAGATTATAAACTTTGTTTTTTCTTTGTTGTTTTTCGTGGTTCAAATTTTCGTAATCGGGCACTAGTTAGGTTACTAGGTTGCGCACATAGCACGCCCACTTATGATATCGAAAAAAATAGCGTCATGCAGTATTTACGCGTACCTTATCATGGTTACGATATGCGCGAGTCAATTTTTAACGCAACGCCCGCTAATAACGTTACCGCCTGACGTAATTTGCGGATCAATTACACCCAAGAACGGTAAGGTTAACTGTTCTTTAATTACACCAAGCGCCAAGAACAGTTAACCTAATAGGACTGCTCATTCAGCCAAAAGTGTCCGCCAGGTGCATGCGAAAACTACTCGCTTTGTGACGTCATTGTAGTCCTTGTCATGGTTATTAGTCCTTGTCCGGCAACCAATAATACACACACGTGCATTATTGGTTGCCGAATGCAAAACGTTCATTATTTAGTTTATTTATTTAAACACCTTATATGTATGCATATAGAAAATTAACTGTATAAATCGTATTAAATACTCGGATAATGCATTTTTATGAACAGCAGGTCCCAGCGTCACCTTTTGCAAGCATTCTTTTTAGAGTACTTCCATATTTTGCTTTAAAATAATTAATAAACAAAATCGTGGGCACTTAGTATGCACTTTGTCACAATTCACAATACAAAATGAACGTATTTATACACTCTATAGCTCTAAAAACTTTAAAGACACCCTTTTCACATTTAAAATTGACAAAATAATTAACTCAAAATTTCTCAGCTGTTATTTTTATAAGTTTACCATAGGCAACTAATAATACACACTATCATGACAAGGCCACGAAGGCTTTGACAAGGACTACAATGACGTCACAACTGTCAGCTGAAGTGCGGGAAGAGGCGAACGTACGTCTTATGAGGATGAGCAATCCTATTAGTTTACCGTTCTTGACCAAGCGCTATTTCTAAATAACGTTTAAAAATTGCTTTAATGGGCATGTGCGGGAATTTGACAACCGGGGCCGGCCGGCGAGATCTTTTATTTTAGGTTATGTTTGAATTGTTTTGAATTATTACTTTAGTTTTATTAGGTAATTTGGTATTTAAGTAGCTGGGATTAGTTTTAATTAAATAAATATGGCCCAAAATATGGATTCCACCTCTTCCAATATTAAAGAACCTATAAAGAGGCTTAGGTTTACAGCAGATGACGACTTAGCCCTTCTAAGAGAATTTGTTGCCCTAAACCCACTGGCAGACGTTGAACAATAAAGCACTGGAAATAAGCATTTTAGCCCTTTAGTTTTAAAATACCTAGTAAACAAAATAATGTCAAAGTTTTTAATTTAAAGTTAGGTTAAGTTTAAATAGCGGACGCGACGCGAACAAAATTCTTTCCGATCCGATAACTATAAATGAAGAGTTATACCACCGGTGGTATTAACTCATTAAGGGAGTTAATACCACCTCACGTAAAGGAAATAACACCTGACCTTTTTAACGTCCATGCACGCTATTCGGTTTACCGATATCTCGCTATTATGCTGTTTATTGTTATTTTGCGCACAGGAAATTTGACTCGTTTGCACATCGTCATAAAAAACAATTTTCGTACCACGAATTAGGGATAAGATTTTTATCTGTATACATATAGTATACCTAATCTGTGATATTATATTCGCTTAAATTATTATACTCACTGAACTATAGTGTCAATATATATTAGACTAAAATTAAATGTTGTCAAAATTAAAAAAAAGAAAAATTTTTTTTTTAAATTTTTAATTTTGTCAGCATTTTTTTCCTTTTTCAGTAATAATAGAGTACCAAATATTTTACATCATGATGAGCTATGTGTAATTTTTTCCCAAGAGGAATGTGATAATTTGAACTGGAACTCTGCGAGCTCAACTTTTCCTAAGTTTGTTCAGCTTTTACAGTTTCAACCATATACATACAATGTTCTACTTGGATTGATATGTAGCATTGGTGGTTTAACTGAGTCGCTTGTAAGTTGAGAGAATATTTCAGTATTTTATAATTTTTATATTTCTTTTATATTTAATAGAACAAATTCAACAAATAATAATTCAGTATTAACAGTCTATTAAATATGTGACCCTCTTTTTTATCATAGAGTATAAACTTTTATTATAAATTATTGGCTATACAGGGTGGTCCGAACTGTATTTGGTAACTTCGGCAGCATATTCTGCTTAAGTTTATATAAACGTATGTCCTAAAATGCTTAGTTTCGGAGATACTGGGTGTAGAAGTTTCATTTTTATTTCGATTTTTTCCAAATAATTTCTGAAGTAACGTCAATATTTGGATAGGTTATGTTAGGAATGATGAGAAATTTGATTTTGATGTCAGTATGACTCCTATTTGTAGGGGGCGCCACCTACATGTGTTTTAACTGTTTTGAAGAGTAATAACTTTTCTCGTCCGTACCTGTATAAAACTACTGACGATACATTTCCGTGAGTTTTTACGTAAAAACTTCAAACCAGTTAAAAATATGTACTTGGCGCCAGTGGCGTGCATTACATATAGGCAAAAAAGCATTACCTACCCTTCCATTTATTCAAGAGAGACGTAAACTAAAAATATATTTTTCTGATCAATTTTCATTATATATCTACCTACAAATCCTACAATGCGAACTACATTGTTTTATTTTTCTAAATAGTAAGTTAGTATTGTGTTTATTACGGTTGCAAAGCCGGAAATATCATACAAAACACACGCCACCTGTTCAACGTCTTATTATTGCAAAATAAAAACATTAAATCACCACAATACACCAAAACACTTTTACTTTTACACTGGACACGCGTTTTGCTAACCATGTTAGCATCATCAGCAGATGATTATAAACTAAAGTACAATCTACAAGTTGAGCGTTTATATACTCGCTCAGTGGGCACCGAGTGGGCGTGGCAAAATCTAGCCAACCGAGTCGGAGCCCACTGAGCGTAACAGTTAGATTTCCGCCACTAGAGTAGTAGGAACAAAGAACTTGAAGGAATTGGACCGTTGTCTCTGTTCATACTATCTTTACATTTATTAATTCTGATGCTTTCATATGCATCTAATTGCCTGTAATTTGAGACTTGTTTAATTAATTTTAAATTATTAAGATCTATACAATGTTCTTTATGAACAATATGTTCGGCAACGCAAGATTTATCCGGTTTACCATATCTTATCTGAGCTAAATGTTCTTTAAATCTAGTTAATATTGATTTTCTAGTTTGCCCAACATATTTCTGATTACAATCTTTACAAGAAATTTCATAAATACCCGACCTTTCCAGTGGAGGTGTTTTATCCTTTGGATTACCTAATAATTGTTGTAATTTATTATTAGCACTATACACAAGTTTATAATTTACATTCTTCAAAATTCCTTTTAGACCACGGGATAACTCTCTATCAAACGGCATCGAAAAATATTTAGACGTGTCTTTCTCCACTTGAAAAGTCGAATTTTCAGAAATCATTAACCTATACCTACGTTTTCTAATTAATTTATCAACTAGTGAAGGAGAATATCCATTACACTCAGCTACATTCCTAATGTAATCTCTTTCTATTTCATATCTTTCTTTGGAAAGTGGGAAACTAAGTTATCTATGAACTAGGAAATTTAAACTAGCCATTTATGTTCAACACTATGATGTGATTCATTAGGAATATATCTGCGTGTGGTGGTATTTTTCCTATAGATATCAAATTCCAGGCAATTATTAGTATTTCTAATAACTAATACATCTAGAAATGGTAATCTGTCGTTGTTCTCAATTTCATGTGTAAATTTAATGGAAGGAAAACGATTATTTAACTTCGAAATAAAATTATCTATGGTGTCTGAATGTGTGTCAAAAACAGCAAAAATATCATCCACATACCTAAACCATACTCTTGGAAAATACTCAAACCGATTCTTAGCCTCCACTTCAAACCTGCTCATGAATAAATTAGCCAAAAATGGAGACAATGACTTCCGAATATATTCGAAAAAAACACGGAATTTTCAATTTTGTTTTCTATTGTTTCCTGGCTTTATTTGTTAAGATAACTTAAAATGAAAAACACATTTTCTTGGCCATTTTTTTCTGCTCTATAACTCTGTGTGAATAAATATTGACTCTGACGTTTCGGCTTCTGGCGACCATCATCAACTTAATTTTTTTAAATACGGACCTGAGTTTTTTTCAATTTAATTAAATCATTTCATCACTCTTAAAACACTATATATAGTCAATATCACTTTGATATTTGCTGACGCTTCGTACAAAAAATTCCATCACAAGAATATTTTATGCAAAAAAAAGTAATAAAAAATAAAAATGCAATACGGCATTTTATTGAGCATCAAATTGCGCAACTTTGCCTCCATTTTACCAATCCTGTATCTCTTACGTTTTTTGCTTATTTTTACCTGCAGAATATGCCGCCGAAGTTTCTGAAATAGAGTTCGGACCACCCTGTATAGAGGATTTAATTCACTATAGGTCCGAATAAATATGTGATTTACAAATTACATATTATCTAGTACTATATACAGTGATAAACATGAATTTATTTTAATAGGTGAAAAGCTCAAGTTTGTCGTTCTTTACGTATCTTAAACAAGAAATAAAAGACAAAGGTGTTGAAGAGATAATTCGGATTTGCGAAATTGTTTATAAGATTTTTGGTGATCATCAGAAAGAAGATAGAATTACTGTATCATTATTAAGGTAAATTTTTAAAAATCCCGTTTTAGTTTATATTTAAAGCGTTTTTTAATAGATTTTTAGATAAACTCTTTGATTCTGGCTGTATCAAATTGATTTTGGATGACCCTAACTCTGATTTTGCTAAACGACTTTTAAAAATGGTCCAAATTGAAATAGCCGGCTGTAAAGATATATACAAACTAATTGATGGTATCAGTGTTTTGTGTCAGTTTATTCAGGTAGATTAGTGACAATATTGCACACTAAAGATTCATTAATATTTGGTCTATTATAGGTTCCAGGAGATGTCTGTCAAACAGCCCTTGTGCAACTTAGCATTCTTTTATGTCATAGACAACCGTATGTTCGGCGATCGACGTCCACAAAACTTTATGAATCTCTCTTGGTTAGTGGTGATAGTAGCTGTATACCACCTGAAAACATAGACGAAGTTATGCAAACACTCAGTGACACAAACTGGGAAGTTTCAATTGAGGAAATTAGACCCAAAAGAAATGGTCTGTGCAATTTGATGGGGGTTCGGGTACCAACAGCTGCTAAAAAGAAAGTTTAATCGAGAATTAATGATATATGTAATCGTGTATTAATCACTGACATGATATTTATTGTGATAACTTATGCTTATTAAAATGCTTTTTATAGCCTTTATTAATATACAGTATCTAATTTTTTAACTTTATTTTCTTATTTAATGTTATTGATTCTTCCTGATGGTAGTTTTTTATACTTATCTCTTTAAGGTACATAAAATATTGTAATTGTACACTCAAAAATTGGAACGCCCCAGCTTGTTTTGACTGATTCTAAAAAATTGTCACAATTTTCTACCGTATGATCGATGATGAGAAAACGGCATTAGTTGGCTTGGAAATGACGATCAATGACATTCCCATATAATTTTACATTATGAATAGACCGATCTTCATTTTATAGCCATTGCTGACGCCGTTTTTTTTCATCATATATAAATAAATCACAGAAAAAATAACTTGTTTATAGTTATAAATAAATAATAAATTGTTATCTTCTTCCTATACCTTAGGCAACCAATAAAACTGATGTTTGCTGGCTCCATCTGTATGCTTTTTTCTGATAATGAATGGAACGTATTTTTAAAATGCCATTATGTAGGATTTTAGCCCATTTATTTATAAATAACATATAGCATTTCGTATAGTAATTTTTTAGAATAGTATTATTTCTATAATTCATACAAAATACAAGTAATACAACTATAAAAAATATGTATACAAAATACAAGTAAAGGTTTCTTTTTCTCATTGACGTTTTGAAATTGCCGTGCAGATGGCGCTGCAAAAAAACTGTATTTTTGTTTTTAATTGATTAAATTGTATAAAAGCTTAATCTGGTCTTAATTATTTATGCAAATTTAAAATTGGCAATATCATATTACACCTCTTTCCGGTTTAGAAAAATATTGCTGATGAATGAAAATTAAAATTTAAATTTCTGTCTTTGTTTTATGGAGCCATTCTGTCTTTCACGGTCGGGGAAATGTCAGATTTGTCAGTTTAAAAAATATTTACAATCGAGTGGCAGTGTTTACGGGCGAGCATCAAACTGATAACAATGAAAACGGGGTTTTTTCAATAAAAGGTGGAGTCATTTCCCTGCGAATGAATAAGTTTAATGACTGCGGATAGGGTTAAAAGCAAAATATTTATCAATTATAGCATGCGCACTTCTACGTCCAACACAAAGGTTCTTGTGCATTCTGTTGGACTTGTCAGTGAATAGTCAGCTGTAATTTCGGAAATATGGCATAGGGACGTTTATTTGGGTGTGTTTTTGTAGTGTTGTGGTTAATTTTTGTGCGGAACAATGTTTAGTGGTTGTGTATTTCTTGTTCTTCTATTTCTGGCTTTACATCCAATTGAAAGTGGTAAGTTTGAAAATATTTTTGTTACAGCCTTTTTAGATTTTTTTGTTTTTATAGCTTTATATTTTAAACTCGTACAGTAGCTAAAACACCAATAGAGTCTAAATTATATTATTATCTAGTATACGCTGATTATATCCAGTGCAGTATTCATTTCTGGTTATTACAATGTTACAATATATTATTTGTTATTGTATTACTTACTGTGGTTTAGCCTCGAGTTCAGCTGAAGTAATTAGGTTTTATAGCTATCAATAACACACATTGGGATCTAATTATAATAATGGAAGTATTATATTTAGACTAAGATATTGTTGTTTCATGTTATATTTATATATTTATACTTTTTGCTCCAATTTAATTTATTTGGTTGCTTGGAGAAGGACATTATTAACAATATATTTTAAGAAGTCATCAGTTTTGAAGAAACCAATTTGTGATTGCTTGAAACCAGAAGCTACCTATCTAAAGTTCAAAGTTCCAGTTACATTTAGGTGTAGATTTCAATACTGATATTTACTTATGAATTCTCTGTTTTATTTATCTATTTATTAATATCGTAATGGAGGAAAACCAACTATAGAATATTAACCAAATAAATTGGAGTTTTTGCGAACGTTACAGACTGGGGCCACAAGGCCAGTGACACCGACAGGAGCTCCACGGTATCGCGAACATGAGTCACATAACCTTGATGGTTTCTAGAAAAAAAATATTTACCTGTTAATTGTCAGCTCTTTCTCTTATTTTCCCTGAAGAATAGCAAGGTAATATTTATCCAGTAACTCTTTGAAAGTGTTGAACTCAGTTTAACAGTAGGTATTTAATTGTTAGAAGGTAAAGCAAACCTATGAGAAAATTTTTGGGTTGTGATAAAATACTCCAATTCAAGTATAGAATTATTTATTTGGTGTTATAGTATTATACACAACATAATTTACCAGAATATACCAAAACCCTTTATTTTAAACTCTGGTTGTTTTGGTTTGGTTTGGCAATGGCAACCAAAATGTTAGTATCATCAGTAGATGACTCGGTAGATGTTTAGAAACTATCCATATTCCATATCATATCGTCGGTATCAAATTAGTAGTTAGTAACTACTGCAAACCCGATCTTTTTAGGTCTAAACTTTACCCGAGACTTCACCATAAAAATATAGTTCCAAAGGTTGGCGTCGAGGTTTGTAAAACAGAACATTAGGATAGGTACTTGTCTAGACCTTGCCATCAGCTGTCTTTAGAGTCGGTTAGATTAAACCGAGGATTAAATTATAAACTCGACTATAAATAAGATCCAATATAAAAATAAACTCACAGTACCTACTATTTTAGGACGACATCACTCATTAGCATGGATGGCTAGAGTAGCCGCATCTAAAGGAGCTACCGCGTCATCAATGACAATGACACATACAAATTTCACTGATATTGATATATCGGGTGTTTCCGAGGCTGTTTCTCAAAAGTGGTCCATGACTATATCTTCCCCAATAAATTAACGCACCACAAAAAAATAACCAAAAGTTTAAGTTAAGTTTTTGTCAAAACCACTTATCCGATTTGGACGATTGTTTTTTGAATTATAGGTTATTCTTTCCACAATGTTGCTATACTAACTGTATTTTGATAGGAACCCTTTTTATACTAATACCGGGTATAGCAATTATAACGTGTTTTTTTAATAAAATTTGTGACACCCTGTAGAGTTGATCAGTTACAGTATCAAGTTAAAATTGAAATCACATTTTAGCCTTATCTTTTTTTTACATTTTGTTTTATTTACTCCATTATCTTCCTTATTACACGAGAAACAACATTTTATAGGATGACATGATTTAATATTGGTTTTAATTAACATTTTTCCATTTTACTCACTAAAGTAAGTAGCAGGCTATGGAAAAACACGGATTACCAGTAAATGTCAAATAGAGATGCTTGTTGTCAGTGTCAGTCGTTTTCGTCTCTTTATTATATCAAAAATATGCAACATGCACGTGAAACAAGAAATCTTACTGGCCAAGAATGTGCTCAAGCGTTAATATTGTCTGAGGAAGGTTAGAGCTACCGAAGAATTGGTGAACGATTTAATGTAACTCACTCAACCATTTCACGAGTTATACAACGGTATAGAGATACTGAGAGTAATTGTCACAGGCTGGGACAAGGCAAGAATCGACGAACCAATCCGATTCAGGAACGTTTTTTAAAACTCTCAACATTAAGACAACGTTTCGTAACAGCTCGGACCCTTCAAACTCAGCTCAGAGATACTAATGGTCTACAAGTTTGCACAGAAATTAGCATCTCTATTTGACATTTACTGGTAATCCGTGTTTTTCCATAGCCTGGTTTTTACTTACTTTAGTGAGTAAAATGGAAAAATGTTAATTAAAACCAATATTAAATCATGTCATCCTATAAATTGTTGTTTCTCGTGTAATAAGGAAGATAATGGAGTAAATAAAACAAAATGTAAAAAAAAGATAAGGCTAAAATGTGATTTCAATTTTAACTTGATACTGTAACTGATCAACTCTACAGGGTGTTACAAATTTTATTAAAAAAAACACGTTATAATTGCTACACCCGGTATTAGTATAAACAGGGTTCCTATCAAAATACAGTTAGTATAGCAACATTGTGGAAAGAATAATCTATCATTCAAAAAAAAATCGTCCAAATCGGATAAGTGGTTTTGACAAAAACTTAACTTAAACTTTTGGTTATTTTTTTGTGGTGCGTTAATTTATTGGGGAAGTGTAAATTAAAAAAAACGAGATTTGGTAAGTATGTTAGGATATGACGTATATCAGGATTGTTGACGTATACAATTGTTTTCGGTCACTTCCTGTTTCACTGTGTCACTTCCTGATGGTATGTTTTACTTTATTCGATAGAAAATGACAGCCTGAATAGAATGACATATTTATGATATATCAACTTTTGACATTTTCGCATATGGTTTATTTGAAATTGTAACATACGGTTCATAACGAAAATTTGACTCGAAATACCAAGTGAGTGGTACCAAATTATTCGTAAAAAATTCTTTTTTCCGAATATGCTAATGAGCCACCAAGCACCGAGTGAGCCACCCTCGTTCGTTTGAAAAAAAATTGAGTCATTCTACTCAGAGTGTCATTTTCGATCTAAGAAAGTAAAAAAAAATGCGCTGGGAGGCACGTATAGCCGCCCATACTAAAATAATAATATGTTAATGAAAAGTTGGTAAGCAATTCTTTTAGTTTCAATTATCTCAAAAACTGCGACTTTGATTGATTTTGATGTTATTACAAATTTTGTTGCAAATATTATTCCTAATCTTAAATTACAAACCGCGTTTCGCTAGCTACTGTAATTTTGGAGTTTGGTTTGGTTTGGCTTTGGTTTGTTGCAAATATTATTCCTAATCTTAAATTGAAAACCGCGTTTCGCTAGCTACTGTAATTTTGGAGTTACGATTTTTTTAAATTTTTAACCCCCTCCCATACCCCCTTACCAACCTCCCACCCCCACCAAAAACTAATGGCCAGATTCTCGGGTGCCATAGTATTTTTGTGCCAAATTTGGTTAAAATCGGTTTAGCGGTTTTTGAGTTATCGTGTTACAGACAGACGGACAGACAGACAGACACCATGAAAATATTTTGTATTTAGGTCATTTATGACCCAAATAATTCATTTTGAGTGAAATTAAAAAAAACTTTTGTCGATCTTAATAGCCTACCATACCTGTTGGTAGCCTCCTATCTTCATCAATAATGGTACGATTTCCATAAAAATGAGACACCCTGTAGGTACTAGTTTCGTTTAGCTAAATAAAGAATTATTTGTCATTATTTTCTATATAGGAGCAGTTATATTCATTGTTCTGGAAATGTATTTGTATATAAAAAAACTAGTATATTTTTCTGGTATTAAAACGATGAATAATATCGTTCCACATAAATAGAATATTATATCTCACTGTCCGAGCGACAACGTTCATTAATTTCGTCCAATTTCCCTTCGTCATTGTCTCGTTTTTTTCTTCTGCCACGCTCTAACTACTAAATCATTCAGTGTAAACGACCTAAAATTATCTTTTTTTAATGGGCGTTGGGCCGCGTTTCGTCTAATTTCCAGAAACGTCAACCGCACCAAACTGAGTGCATCTGTTCGTTGGGCTAGTTGTCTTACGGATGTGATACATATTGCTGTAAATTGAGGCACTAGTTCTGTGTCTTTTTACTTAAAAGCGAGGGTTTAATATAAATAAAAGAACAACTGAATATTTTACTTGCCTATGAAAGGACAATTCGGGGATATTTTTATTAGAACTTCCACCCACCAAACACTTTCTAGTCGTTTTTACGAGTATTTAAAAAATCCAACGAAATCGAAATAGAAATATAATTGCACAAACTTAAAATTAACTTCACAGGATGCAAGTGAACACTACATACTCTGCTGGCCAGCGAATCCTTGGATCGGCGTTTACATGTATAGGAGTGAATCGCTATGGCAATCTAGTAAGTCGGAGAGAGCAAAAATACGAAGTATTTATTACATAATCACTTAATGTGACGCTAGATTCCATGCGCTTGGAAAAATGCTTGCTTTCTGTCTTTATTTAGTACATCTTATTTTACTAAGCGTGTTGACCGTACTCTTCGTACACACGAAAATCGGCACCCAAGGCCAGAAATGCTGACCCTTAGTATACTCGAAAAAGTGTTAAAATGCTGCCTAGAGAAAGAAATTGTTTATGACACACAATTATAAAAAAATATATTTTTGCTTTTAACTGTGCGTGTATCTACGCTTTGCAAAAAAAGTCGTTTATAACTAGGGTTGCCAACTTTCAAAATAAGAAATGGAGGACGAGAGGGTAAAAAAGAGGCACTGTCGAACATTTTTTGAAACTTCGCTCAAATGTCTAGAATTTACAAATAAGTTATGTAAACGCTATGCGATTGATGGTCTTTCTTACTTTCTTAAAAATATTTGTACTCAAAACTGG